AAGGGCTCGGATTCTTTTCCCATTGACAAACACACCGATGTATATCAACGAAGGATTTGTGCGATAACAGGCTCTTTTTGGAGGATGTTGAATACAAGTGCGGATGAAATGTCCGGCTTTACCACATTCAAAACAGCGTGGAGATGCTTTCTTTGGGGCATGTGTTCGATTAGTAGGTGCACCATGAGGATTGTAACTTTTTGTAGCAGACGAATTCTGATGATATGGTACTGGACGAGCACTTGGTTTTTGAGGTGAACATTGAACAGATGATACAGACGTTTCTGGCTCAGCTTTGGACTGGAGGGAATCGATGAAAACCGAAGCAGTTAATGTTGCCTGGGTACGAACAATAGTTTGTAATGATTCTTCTTCTTGTGCTACTTGAAAGAATTGGGATGCCGTTGATGGATGACGACGAAAAACGTCTTTTTGCAATGACTNAGTATCAGTCATATTCGGTTCAGTTTGATTACATAATTTGATCATCGTGTTATAGTATTCAATCACAGATTCGTCGGATCGTTGTATATAATTATTCTGTTTGTGAAATGAAAGTGAGTGTTGATCAGAGCTTCTAAACACATTGGAGATTCTGTCCATAAATTCCGGCCATGACTGAATGCTATCTTTGTTTAATCGCCACCAATTCTTCGCTTCGCCATCAAGATATAGGGGTATTAGTTGAAGTCTATGTAATGAATTCAGATTAATGATGTCGAATGTTTCCGCTATTTCTAACAGCCAGTGTTGAACATCATCATGGTTTGTACCAGAAAATTTCGGGGCTTCTTTTATCGCCTTGGTTAATACAGATATTATGACTGGTGTTGAGAAGTGGTTACGTTGATGTTCGGGCATCTGTGTCGCAATCTGGTCCATCGTGCTGTGATGACAAGAAAAGGAAAACACCACGGATTGTACTTACTGTGATGTCTGACTGACAGTAAGCCGGCTAGTGCACCAATTGTTAGGCTCCACCTAACTTGTTCGAGTCTTCACTTGTATGTATAAATGTTTTATTCCGAAAGTGAAGACCTCTCTCCCTACAGTATATGCCTGTGTATATATATAGGCGAGAAAGAAGGAAAGAAAGAAAGAACGTAACAGAAAAACATGATGTAATATAAACAGTGATGTAATATATACAATTGTGTCACAGGATGGCATGACGAGATATAGGCATGTTTGTGTCAGTCGTGCGACTGACATAACACTGCTCTAAGTAATGTGTCGTTACGGAGTTGTACGTAGTTTAAATTGACAGTTTCCTTAGATGTCGGAATTTGTGCGTTTTCGAGCCCTTTGCAAAAACTGAATATCTCAGCAATGCAACAACTTTAGGATTTGCGGTTTTCGCCAAAAATTCATTAAACTGTGCTCTAAAGAAGCCCTTACTATGGAATCTGACATGGTCGATTGAGCACGTTAGGTCGTCGCTGATCTTTCATGGCTCTTATATGCTTAGTCTGAGACGTCGAAGAAGCGGCATTATTTGTTTTTGCCTTTGGCTTTTAGTGTAGAAGTGCAAGCATATCCAACGACTCGGGATCCATCTTGGTTAGAACGTTGCAATAACGCGGAGTTTATTCGACTCCAAAAATATGATTCGTATTGGGCTTTAATGCTATTCATTCTCGTTAAGAAACAACATCTAAATACAGCACTTACAACGTTGGCTTCTGGTGCTAATGATTTCATCAGTTCTTTAACAGCATTTCCTGCCTTTCGTTGTTCGATAAAACCAATTACTGAATTAGCCAGTAAAAGAAGAGTGATACCAACAAAATCTGGCCAATCAGGCGGTTTTCCTTCGCCATTACTCAATACAATTGCAACAATGGCTGCTGCTTCCATTACCCTGCATTCACAGGAAAATGACAGGAGTCGTCTTTTACTAAGAGATTTCTTTTAAAAACTAAGGCTTACCAAGACAATGGATTCCACATGAATAAAAGAAACTGAATAACTGGATTTTTTTCTTTATTTTCTAGTCTATTACGGCCAAACTAAAAACGTTAGAAAACGGACTATATGCATTTTAGATTTACTACTTAATCCGAAAGCTGCTGATGCTGATTAGATTATATGGTGTCACCCACTGAAAAAAAATTTAGGAATTCCTGTGAATGTTGGATATATACTGCAGGTTTTTACATCATGTTACCTCGCCGAAAACGTTCCTGCAAGTTGGTGAGTATAATTGAACAGGATTCTTTAGCACACTCACGTTTCAAGTTTCTTTTCTGCAGGATCCTGGAGGATTCTTCTCTAGGCACACCATGCGGGAACTTTTACATGCGTTCATACGATATATCTCGCAAATCCTTCACTTTGCATAGCCTGCGGAATTTTTTCCTTTCTGTTGTCACTTGTACGCAAACCCTGCAAGGTTCATAGGATTTTTCGTGATGATAAAAAGTAGTAGCTTGTGGATTTTGTCCGCCATGTACCTTGCGGCATTCTCCAGTCTTTTCTCATCAATATACACAGGCATATACTGTAGGGAGAGAGGTCTTCACTTTCGGAATAAAACATTTATNTTTTAACTATAACTTTTCAATGTTTTACCGAAGTTTTTAAATTATATACCATTCAACAGAGTATTCAAAGGGATTACTCTCATTTAGTCCCACACTCGTTTCGTCCGGTTTATTTTCTAGCATTCTACTCATTTTATAACTATTCATTTTTTTTCTATCAACTGTATACTGATCAATATTAATATAATTAAGATAATGTAAGAAATAAATAAATTATATTCAGTCATGGAATATGCAAAACTTTGTTAAAATTAAGTTGGATTCAGGTTTAGAAAAACGAACTAGTCCATATTGATACGTATCAACGTATGAATATACAATGTATCAGTTTCTTAAGTTATCTTAATGAATTATATTAATATTAATTAGTATACAGTTGATAGAAAAAAATGAATAGTCATAAAATGAATAGAATACTAGAAACTAAACGGGACGAAACAAGTATGGAACGAAATGAGACGAAACGAGAGCTAATTAAAAAATACGGGACGAAACGAAAGGATACCATTCAAAGCTAACGAAATTTAGAATAGTCTGATATCTGTGCTTTGCTATACATCTTTTTTTCACAATAGCGGGATCATTCTAATGACTTTAATTTCTTATTGATGGTGGAAAAAAATAGAATATTCCTGACATAAAAAGATCTTTTCAGTTATCTATTAATAGTTTGATTTTGTACGTGTTAAAGTCAAAATATTAAGGTATACGTTTTCTAGAAGTTTATTGGACACGAGAAAAATTTTTATAACTTTATAAGAAAAAAGTACTTAACTTTCCAAAAAAAAATACAGAGAAGTTCCGCCACGGTCATCCTGGACAGACATTCGTGAGAAAAGATTGCTGGATGCCACAGGAACATGGAGAACAAAATCGATTTTCTTTCAATCAACAAAATTCTGCCAGATTTTGTAGGAAAAAACTTGTGGATTGAATAAGTCCAAAAGTCTTGCGATGCTTCTTACCTTTACGCAGGATTTTTTCCATCCTGACCCTACATAAACTATGCAGAGTTCTGTCAGGGCTGGCAGTAAGGTAAGAAACATCCCCAGATATTTTAATACCGATAACCCGCGGGATACTACGCAAAGTCCTGCGGGATCCTGCATGGAGTTTGATTATTTTTTTCAGTGGGCACTTGACTTCCCTTTACTAACGAGGAAACCTTTCGGGGTGATTAAACGCTTTCGGAATTTAGTGGGTTATAAGTTATCGACCATGCTGCTTATGAATATGACGTTTGCTCTTAGCCCTTCGAAGACCTGGTTTTCTAGAAAGCCAGTTTTTCAGAAATTCTAAAATATAACTCAGATCTTTCTTAATGAAGCGCGATTGTAGCCCGCACATTTCTGATTAAAATGAGACATCTCCCAGCGTTACACAACCTTTCTTTACAAAGTTATAGAATTTACAAGAAAAGCCGTAAATTAATTTCTTGTTATTTCTGTAGCTTTGAGCTGACAATGAATATTTACGGCTTTTCTTGTAAATCCTATAACTTTGTAAAGAAAGGTTGTGTAACGCTGGGAGATGTCTCATTTTAATCAGAAATTCGCGGGCTACAATCGTGCCTCATTCAGAAAGATTCGAGTTACATTTTAGAATTTCTGAAAAACTGGTTTTCTAGAAAGCCAGGTCTTGGAAGGGCTAAGAGCAATCCCCATCGTCATATTCGTAAGTAGCATGGTCGATAACCTATAACCCGCTAGATTCCGGAAGCGTTTGATCACCTCGAAAGGTTCCCTCGTAAGTGATAAGGAGTGAGACGCATTAATTGACATCAAATAAGTAATCATTTTTATTACCTTATTACTTACTATTTCTTCAGATAATAATCTTTTGTTACTTTACTTATTACTAATATAAGAAAAGTAATAAAGTGTAATAAATAAAATAATAAAAAATTATTACACGAAGAAGTAATAAGTAGTAAAATAACAAGATTTATTACTTTTTTACGGGTAATAAGTAATAAACGCTTATTACTTTTACCGGATAAAGTAATAATTAGCAAAGATAACGTAGTATCCATACATATCAGGACAGGACAATAGTTCATTTAGGGTCGTAGAAAAGTGCTTTTTCGTATTCAACTCATTTAATAACCCTGAAGATTTTCTATTTTTGGCAAGGCGAAGACAATGCTTTCCCATAGAAAAGTTTTTTTGCCATTTTGTTTGAAAATTTTTCCTAAACCTTTGGCAGTATCCCTTGCCAAAAATAGAAAATCCTCAGGGTTATTAAATGTGTTGAATACGACAAAACACTGTCTCGCGGCTCTAAATAAACTTTAATTTTTTCTTAACGTTAAAATGGTCTCATCCGCTGTTTCGACAAAGACTAAATATACGAGAACGTTAAACGCAACTATCGAAGCACTACAAGCACTGAATTTTTGTTAAGATTATTCTTGATTCTTGTGAAATGTTTGTCTTTAATTCTAAACTGCAAATTTAAAAATCTAATTTTAGGCAACGCTCTTACTTTTTCAAGTCGTTCTTCAGCTTCTTCACTTGTAAGTCCATCACTGGTAGCACTACAAAAACCAAAAATAGAGCATTTTTGAAGTCGAAGGCACACTAATAAAAAAAACTACCTACTCAAGTAATTTAAAAATGTCGTGTTGTTCCATTATTGATAAATCATATTTTTCTTTATCATACAGTTCTTCCACTGTAATAGTTGTAATACCACCTTCGGGAATATCAACAGATATATGATCATCACCATTCTGATTATTGTCATTATTGTTGTTAGGAGACCCAGTTTGATTGTTCGTTTTTTTAGTAGTCATTTTTTACACTGTTTTATGTGTTGATTAACTGGCTGGAACAGAGTGATAAAAACGAGATAGACCACTTTAAAAGTGCCTTTCCGATAGCTGAACATCATCTAAGGGCCCAGAATACATCTTTGACTGAAAAGAACCGTTTTAGGCTCAATAAAAAAATTAAGCGTTATGCTGTTCAGAAGAATCCAATAGCGTTACCATTAAACTGTTATTTTCTCTTTTGAAATTATAAAACGAAATTGGAAAAGAAAAAAACAGAATAAAGGGCATGAATGTTATCAGTATCTATGCACTGCAATATATAATACATTATTATTAGTAACAGCAATCTCGAGTAAACGCCTTTGTACGAAACACTATAGAGGATCTTATATAATTATATGTACATGTCTATTTACATATAAATTTAGAAAAAATGAAATAAACAGAAGTCTTCCCGTTTTTGTTAATAACTAACTGAGAACTAAGAATTGCTGAGATAAACATGAGAAAGAATCATATTTTACATCGAAACTCTAGTACACCTTACATACCGATAAATTCTGTTACGAACATGGACGAATAAAGATTGTTCTATGGATCTTCTTCTTACAAAGGATAATAATATACACGCTAACTATGTAACTAGAGTGGTGTCATATATAAAATGAATCGACCATTATGCACTCTATTAATTAGCATATTTTGATTCAAAAGCAAATGTTGTGACTGATTGTACATAATTGACACATAAGTTATTACTTCTTTCACGGTCATTACTCACGTTTGTGCTATTTCTGATCTATAATTTAAAATGTGCTCATCAAAGTACGAAAACAGGTCATTCGCTTTTGAATCAAAATATGCTAATTAATAGAGTGCATAATGGTCGACTCATTTTATATACCATACGACTCTAGTCACATAGTTAACTTGTATATTATTATATTATGTACATAAAATTAAAAATTGATTCTTTCCCATGTTTATCTTAGAAATAGCACAAATGTGAGTAAAGACCATGAAAGAACTAATAAAATAGTACTAATTATTTATGTGTCAGTTATAGAAGAAACCAACTAAACAGGTTTGCAAAATATCCTGTAGTTAAATGACATGTGCCAGAAGAAAAAAAATTTCAATTGTCATGTTCTATCTGAAGACTATGGGACGCATGTTTCTACACTCAGTTTTTGATAACGAATAAGAAAACATTAGTTTCAAATGTAAGGAAACTTACAAGCGCATTCGATTATTTCTTGCTGACCTTCGCTCCCCGACTTCTGTTGCATCTCTAGTTCATTGCGTTAGACGCAGAATTATATTCTCTATCGCATGGCACTATTTTGCATGTCATTGAGTAAAAACGCGCAGTTTTCGCCCGAGCCACTGGGTTTTAGGCTGTTTCTGCCAGTATATCCTGCTGAAATTCGCTCTCAGACCTGTGTTGAATGTCTACTTGATTCGGTGAGATGCAGAATTAAATTCTCTAACGAACGGTACTATTTTCGCTACGGATCATCGAGCAAAAACGCGCAGTTTTGGCCTGGAACACTGCGTTTCAGGCTCTTCTTGCCAGCATATCCTGCTGACATTCGCTCTCAGACCTGTGTCGAATGTCAACCTGATTGTGTTAGATGCAGAATTAAATTTTCTAGCGCACCGTACTATTTTGCAAGGGGGTCCTCTAGTAAAAACGCGCAGTTTTCGCCTGGAACACCGGGTTTTAATCTCTTATTGCCAGTATATCCTGCTGATATTCGCTCACAGAGCTGTGCCTAATGTCTACTAAATTGTGTTAGATGCAGAATTAAATTCTCTAACGAACGGTCACTACTGCTTTCCATGGGGGTCATCGCGTAAAAACGCGCAGTTTCAGCCTCGAAAAACGCGGACTCAGACCCTTACTACCAGCATATCCTGCTCACAATCGCTCCCAGACCTGTATCGAATGACACAGAATAAATTCTCTATCGAACGGCAGTGTTTTCGATGCGGGTCATCCAGTAAAAACGCGGACTTTCGGCCTGGAACGCAGGATTTTCGAACCTTTCTGCCCGTAGATCCTGCTTTAATGCGCTCTCGGACCTGTGCCGAATGTCTACTTGATTGTTTGTGTAAGATGCAGAATTCAATTCTCTATAGAACGGTAGTGTTTTCGATGCGGGTCAACGAGTAAAAACGCGCAGTTTTGCTCCAGAACACTGGGTTTTTTTTCCATTTCTGCCAGTATATCCCGCTGAAATTCGCTCTCAGACCGGTGTCGAATGTCTAGTTGATTGTGGTAGATGTAGAATTAAATTCTCTATCGAGCGGTACTGTTTTCGATGCGGGTCATCCAGTAACAACGCGGACTTCTGGCCTGAAACACTGGGTTCTAGGCTCTTGCTGCCAGCATATCCTACTCATATTCGCTCTCCGACCGGTGTGCAATGTCTACTTGATTATGTTAGATGCAGAATTAAGTTCTCTATCGAACGGTACTGTTTTCGATGCGGGTCAGCGAGTGAAAACGCGGACTCTATCGGGCGATATGCGCTCTCTCTTTGCTGATATGCGCAGATATGTTTTCGCTGGGGGTCATCGAGTAAAAACGCGGACGTTTGGCCTGAAACACTGGGATCTAGGCTCTTGCTGCCAGTATATCCTAATGCTATTGGCTCTCAGATTTGTGTCGAATGTCTACTTGATTGTTTGTGTGAGATGCAGAATTAAATTCTCTAACGAACGGTACTGCTTTCGACGCGCAGAAGAGCGTAAGGTACTACTGCTAAGTTTCATTGAAGAAGAATATTAATGTACTTTGGCAACTGACCCAAACCCAAGTCTTAGACTTGGGTACCCAAACCCAAACCCAATACACCCAAGTCGCTTG